CTTGCTTTGTCAACAGAACTGGCTGTAGTCTAGATGCTCTTTGACAACAAAACAAAGCCTCTGTTGACAAAAGCCTGTAGTCTAGATGTACCCTCAGGGTACAAGCAGCATGAAGAGACAGTTCCTCTTTGTCGAGGATTTTTATTCCCTCCTCCTTTCCCCCGCCCTTGTTGAGCTGCAAACTCTGTTGACAGGAGGAATTCACTTCTAAGGTTCTTCTTCATTGGGGAGGGGCTGAAAAATAAGCTACAACATGTATTGGTCTCTGCATTATTCCCTCTAGTCTGTCCAGTGTGGATGGGCCTTCTTCAGCATCCAAGATTTAATGCCTTCTGCTGAGACTTAGCACTGTCAGGGTACATCTACACTGCAGCGTTATTTCAGAATAACTGACATCATTTCAAAATAACAAAGTGCCTGTCTGTAATCTGTAGAACTCCTTGCCAGAGGAGGCTGTGAAGGCTAGGACTATAATAGAGTTTAAAGAGAAGCTAGATAATTTCATGGAGGTTAGGTCCATAAAAGGCTATTAGCCAGGGGATAAAATTGTGTCCTTGGCCTTTGTTTGTCAGAGGCTGGAGAGGGATGGCAGGAGACAAATGGCTTGATCATTGTCTTCGGTCCACCCTCTCTGGGGCACCTGGTGCTGGCCACTATAAGCAGACAGGATACTGGGCTAGATGGACCTTTGGTCTGACCCAGTACAGCCGTTCTTATGTTCTAACCCACACACCTCGTGTGGTTCACTGTCCCATGCAGTGGCACCTAGACCACAGCAACAGATAAGACCAAGAGACTTCTACAGCATGGGCTGAGAGCCAGCTGGCTTTTAGCTCAAAGGGCAGAGGCTTCTAAACTAAGCTCCAGAGTCCCAGGTTCAAATCCACTCACAGGTCTACACAGCAAGCCTTTATTTCGGAATAATGTCAAGATGAAGGATTTATTACTCCAACTCCTGTAACCCTCATTTCACAGGAGTAAGGGAAGTTCGACTTCCTGCTGTGTAGACAGCGCCAAAATCCGAGTTCAGCAAACACGCAACTATTGCCTTAGATTATGGGGTACAGTTGTTATAGAGGAGACTAATGCTGGCTGATGTTCACAAGCATCCTGCAGAGTCTAATCACATTCTTATCCTTCTGAAAGTGTTTCTTTATGACACAGAGCTAAGCTGCATGTCTGTCACTGTTCAGTGGACACAGAGGTGGCTTTCGCACCTGATCTGCCCAGCATCACAGGCAAAACAGCCTCACTCAAAAATACACCTCAAGCTGACATTATTATTGTAAGTAAAGTAGGTGCGGAAAGAATGCAGAATGAAAAGATGTGTGTTGTCTTAAGGTCTTTGTAATAAAAGCCACCGGCGCTTGAGGTGTTTTACGAAAACCCTATTATTCATAAGGCAGCTAACTGTGTGTATTTTTTGATGAGCCATTGGGCTAGTGCCATGCAATGGTGACATTGCTGGTGCAGCCATGATCTGGCACTGGATTTATTTTCTGGACAGAAAGAAGCAACAGCATGACCTGGTGTGTGATAGGGGAGAACTTTTTAACTGTCTGGGTGCATTAATGAGAGACTGAAGGAAATGCCTTGAGTAATAAGGCATCTCTCCCCCGGTCAGGTACTGACATAAGTGAAATCAAACAGCAGTGTTTTGATTTTACTGCTGCAGTGAGACACCATAGAACTAAATCAAAGGCTCTATAACACCATTGACACCAGTGTGGATTTAATCCAACAGAATGGTGATTTAAACCAGGGCAGAGTTGGCATTTGATGTTACTGCTGGAATTTGTACTGAGTCATTTCTGGGTCCCACTCCAGGCCCCTTTTCTCATGAAACACAGCTCATTTGCTGGTTTTCCTGGTATCTGGGTGCCACATCACTGTCCTTTTATCCACATAAATAGTTCTTCCACAGATGCCTTTTGCATTGAGTCAAACTGGGCAGCCTCCCCCATTCCCATTTCTTGCAGTTTGTTTGTAGTGGAGCCAAATCTCCCTGTGGGTTATGGGAAGGAGGTTAAGCTGCAGTATAATCCTCAAGGGAGCGTCTACACTGCACCCGTGGCTCAAAATAAGCTGCACAATATGAGCTATGCCAAGTGTGTAGCTTATTTTGAGTTAATTTCAAAATAGAGCGCTATTCCGAAACATTCCTTAATCCTTGTGCAACCAGGTTTACAGGGACATTGGAATAGTGTGCCCATTATTTTGAAAGATATTTTGAAATAATGGATGCGCTGTCAAGACATGAAAAATGCTATTTAGGGATACTGAAGTATCCTGAAATAGCACTGCTGTCTAGGAGTACTCCAAGTGACTCGGGATTTAAAAAATATACTCTGGAGGACTTGGAAAACTTTAGAATGTGTGAAGGGAAATTTATCAATGTTAGGTTATAATGGTGCTCCTACTCAGTGTTCCCTCTCTCTTTTTTTTTCCATCCATGTGTAGAATAAATCTTGTTATGTGCACCAATGAAGGTGTGGATGTGCACCACCAGTAGAAACACAAAGTGCCAGCTGCGGTCACTCTGCTAATCAGCAGGGTGGCATTTGAATCTCTCCTGGGTGGTCACCAGCTTATAGGGAACACTACTGGTTTTGTGGCACTAAAGTTAGTGGCAGTATTAGTTTTCATTGCTGATTTAAGTCCTGCATGGTTTATGTGATTAGATATTGTTGATAAACATTTCTCATATATCCGAGTGGCACAGAGCTTAAGGCTCTCATTGAATGAATCACAATCTAACAGAGTACGCTTAGGCAAAAGTCCAACCAATCAATAGAATGAAGTCTTAGAGGAGGATAGCAACCACTGGGACAGGTGGCTTACATGGCTTAATCCGCCCTTAGCTCATGGTTCTTCCCACTAAATTCTGTGGCTTTAAAGTGCATATACCGAGGCCTTGAGATCACAGAGGGTAAGGAGTACAATAGAACAGCATCCAGACACTGGCCATGTCTCATGTCTTTACACGTAATCTTCCCACAAAAGACATTTACATGGAGAATGCCTAATGCTGTAATGGTCCCTTTATGGTGACAAAGTGATGCAAAGGGATCAGTAGCATAAAGAAGGCTGCAAGCCTTTTCCACTCTGAATTTTCCAGCCTGGGGTTGAAATAGGTCAGTTTGTGGTAAATTGGTACGTTGTCACTGTTGTCTTATGCTTCAGAATCTGAGATTTCACTTAAAGAAAAAAAAAAGTTCTACAGATGAGAAGAGTAAAGTTAAGTGTGAAAACACATCTGGTGTGCAAGCGAATGCCATCCTGTCCCCTTAAGCAATAGCTCTGAGCAGAGTGGACTGCGTCACCATTTCTCTCGCTCGGGGATCAAAGTCTGACAGCGTGCTTACCAGGCTAGTGGGCTTGGGTTTCATAAACTGGACTGTGTGTACTTCCAAGCCCCCTGAGGCTGAATGCAGCCCAAGCCCTTCCTTCTGGTGTCAAGGCACACACTTTGGTCAGGGTACGGCTTGTCTGGCTGGCACCCTCTTTCTGACTTTGGCTAGCACCCCACAGTCCAGCTGCCATAAATAACCTCCACCCCGGATCATTGGTAACCTCCAAGACACTCCAGTTGTTTCTATATCCCTTCCCCCAAGCTCCTACCTTGTGGGATTACAGTTTGTCACCTTTCCAGGTACATGGAATAGCTGAAGCACTTAGGTCACAGGCTTTGCAGAAGTCATCTTGAATCATTACTTTTTATTTTAGACATCACAAGAGAGTTACAGGGCCAGGCAAATCAATAAAACATTTTCCCATCCTTCCTGGCCTCCATTTCCTCACCACTCTGGACCATTCTTCAGTGCAGAGTCTTGTAAGGAAACTAGGATCCTACATCTCCTTCTGTGCATGGTGTTTCCTCTGTTGTCTATACTCAGCCATCTGGTCTTTTTTTGTCACCCTACAATGTGACTCAATGAGAAACTTTTTTATATCCTCCAGACCCTGTAAGTGACCTCCTCAGGTGATCCAAGTCCCCCACCAGCTGATTCCTTACTTATTTACCAACCCATTTGAGTGGACTAGTTTTTTCTGAGCATAATAAGTCATTCCAAAGTGCATCCATGTGAGCAGAGACCCGTCATGGTTTAACAGTGTCCTTTGTAAGCCTATCACTGCCCCCTGGGAATTTCAATCCAGCATGGAGGTAAAAAGACCACAGTGACAGATTTATACAGAGTTTCATGATCTCTGACAAAATTAAGATGTTGTGAAATGACATATTACCACATCTGTTAACACTGAAACTTAATGGTAGATTAAGAATTTCCTCTGGCTATTTCTCTGGTGGTCAACTATGGTACAGCACCTACCCAAATCTTGGAGACATCTACTCTCCCCCCTTCCCCTGTGACATGTTTATTAAAGCGAGATGAAAACAAAACAGTGATAAGAACTAAGAAGAGAGCAACACATTTTTCTTCTCCTTTGCTTGCAAATGAAGAAGCTTGGATTGATGTTGGTGTAATGCAGCTTTTTAATCCTGGGAAACAATTGAGCTCCAGATCAGGGAAGCTTCTGTGCATGAAGAAAAGTTGCCTATAGTTAAAGCCACAACTGAGAGAGAAATCTCTCTCTGTGCCTTACAAAGTAGGAACACTACATCTGTCCCACTGAAGTATGGTAAGACTTGCTTAATTTAATTGCTTTGCAGTCCTTGAATGCCATGTACTATATAAGTGCAAAGCAGTACTAATAAATGTGACTATTTCACATCCTCCCTGCAAGCATGCCTTGCCACAAGGGGTGAATGCAGAGTAATATGTTTTTCTTGTTAATATAATGTCTTCCACTGCAGCTCTCAATGAAGAAATAATGAGCTGTATTGTAGGTTTCTAATCCCAAGTGATAAAGTGTGTAGGTAACAAATTATCTCCCTGCTGTCCTAAACCAGGTCTCTCTAAAACTTGGAGGACTCTTGGACCCTGAGGAAGCCTGGAGCTCTATAGATGTATGTATTATAATTAGTGCCTCACGCTTCCTCAAGGTTTAAACCGATGCACTGTACATTCATCCGGCTGGCAGTGCTGTTAGCCAACACCTTAAAACTCTCTTCGCAGAGCTACTTGCTTGTCTGTTCTCTTTGAATGTTTATTATTTCATTTGTTTTGGTTATACAACTTCCACCACCACTTTTTAATATTCCTCTCACCCTCAACCCTAGCTTGGGTTAACTGGATTTTACTTAGGCTGTTTTGTCTTATTACTTTATACATTTAAAGGGATGGGTTCCTCCAACTCTATGCCAGAAGAGATTCAAGAACTTGCTGATAAGACTGGTTGTGAGTACTGCTCTGTGTTTAGTTTCTTTATTTCCAATGTTTGATTTTTAATAATTGCAAATGGCTTTAATGGGAAACTGGCAAGGTCTCGCTTTCTTGTCTACTGCATCTCCAATAGACAGCTGTTTCCGCAAGGTTCAGTAAGCGTGGAACTGATGAAGAATGTGGTTTAACTGCATAAGTGACTCTCACCCAGACTTTCAGTTGCTCTATGTTGTTGCATTTTACAGTGGCTTTCGAAACCTAGACAAGTGTTAGCAGCAAGATGACAGTGCGGGTTTGAACAGGAAGGTTGTGTAAGTGAACTCGAAACACAAATCTTGTTCCCTCTGCTTTTTCTTGCCTCTCAGCCCTTTTAAGGGATCAGTTAGTTTTGTGTACCTCTCGCAGCTGATTATGTGACGGATGGGTTCACGAGGACAGCTAAGAGCTGAAAAATTGGAGACACAACCTTGCAGTGCTTTAATAACAGCTAGTTCTTCAAACTCTCTGTACCTTGACACCTCTGGCTACAAAATGAAGATGTCCCAACCTCCCAGGAGTGTGGAACTCTGATCATGAATGTTCCTAAATTGTGATGAGCTCCTTAGATGATAAGTAAATGAAAACTACTATTGCTGCTCATTGATTGTTCCAGTGAGACACATCTGACCATGTGAGCAAGGCAGAAGTGGAAATGCCTAGTGATTATATAATTCCTGGGTGTCTCGCCTTTGCCACTTAAGTGTTGGGAGCATTCTAACATAGGGTCCTGCAGGGATTGGTTCTTGGCCCTATCTTATTTTATGTTTTTATCAATGCGAATCTAAAATGGTCACTGATAAAGTTTGCTCGTGACACAAAATTTGGGGGAGTGAAAAATAACGAAGAGGAGAACAGTACACATTTTAGTATGGCTAAATGCAAACGTGTATCTCCAGAACAAAGCACGAAGGCCACACTTCCATGGTGAGGAGACCTGGCTTGGTAAGCAGTGATTCTGAAAAAGATTTAAAGGTTTAGTGGATAATTGCCTGAACATTAGTGGCCAGTGCAAAGCCGTGGCCAAAGGAGCAGTCCTGGGAGGTATAAATGGGAATCTTGAGCAGGAGCCAGGAGATTATTTTACATCAGGATTTGGCACTGATGTGACCACTGCTAGAATCCTCTATCCAGTTCTAATGCCCACAATTCAAGAGTGATGTTTGATAAATTGAAAGAGTTCAGAGAAGAGCCAGGAGAATGATTAATGGGTTAAAAAAACCACTTTCTGGTGACAAATGCAAACAGAAGGTGAAGGAGTGTCTGGAAGGTATAACACAATGCAAGGGCTGGAAACTGAAGCCAGACACATTCGCACCGGAAATAAGGGTCACATTTTAACGGTGAGTGAATTTAACATTTTGAACAATTTACCCAGGGTCATAGTGGAGTCCCCATCACTGATGACAGTGAAAGCAAGACTGGATTTTTTGGTAAAAGGTCTGCTCTAGGAATTTATTATTAGGGCAAACATGCACTTGGTAGCAATCTCTGGTAAGCTTTTCCTAACTCTCCAACCCAGTGCTCTTGTAGGGGGTGAGGGTCTCTGTGATTATTGAATCAAAAGCAAGACTGTCAGTTCAAGTTCATCCAAGTGTACCACTGTTCCCTAATCTCTGCAAAACCCAGCCTAAACCTCTATATGCAAACCCTCCTGGGGGTTGGTACCTCTCTGGGATTGTCCAGTCTCAGGGGCACTCACCTCACCCCACTGCCCTCCCCCCAGAGTTTTGGGTTCTGGAGGAGCTATGGTACTCTTCCCCTGTGGAGCAGAGCACAATCCTACACACACTCGTCATAAGTTTAGTGTCATGATGATCCCAAAAGACAATTCATGGGGTTGCCATAACTACTGCAATGAACACACATATGTTCTAGCTGCTAACCTGATCCTAAACAACTTGCATCCAGGAGCTTCAAAATTCATTTCTCAACTTCATCCCCTGCACCCAAAGCTCAGAGTTTTATTCTGGGCCTTTTCATAGAGGGACAAAGTGTAACGTTTGGATCTAGCAGTAGAGTCGGATTCTGAACACTGAAATGTTAAGATCTGGGATCTTACGATGAGCGAGTTGTTTCATTTTTAAAAGTGGGTATGTAATATTAATATAAAAAATCACTTATATGCATTTTGTAATTAATACATTTGGGGAAGGATAACGTAGCTGCTTTCTAGATTCAAAAGCTCTGTCTTTTAATGCTACTCTGACCTTTTAAAGGTTGTTGTTTTCCCTCTAGTTCACTATTTGTATGCTTAGACCTTATTAGAATTTTTAGTACAAAATATTCTTAAATAGAAACAAGACACACGCACATCCAAAAAACAGTAATAGCTCTGCATGTGATGAAGCATTTTGATTACAGAAAAATTAGCCTGCCCATAGCAAGCAAGACAGAAACAACAAATTAAGTAAAACCACATAGAGCCAATTAATTAAAATCAGTTAACGTGGAATAATTTAAACAGACAATCTTCCAGATTCTCATCCAGATGATTAAACTATTAAACGCATAGGTAGGAAGATAACCAGTCTGCATACGAGGGACCTGGTTAGCAGATGAATAAATTTTACTCTGATTTGGTGCCTCAAGAAAAGAAAATACTGTCTTATGGCTACAAAATCAAATTCATTACTGTAAATACTCACAGTTTCAAGAAAGTCACTGGAGTTATACCATCATGAAAGTGTTTCTTTATAACCAATGAGAGGTATATTCAAGGTACACAATATGATACAGATGCTTGCTCCAGAACTTTTTCCCTCTATCCTATATTCCTTAAGATAGAAGGATTTACGTTGTATGGTGTAAATCATCCCAACAGAATTGCCCAGAAAATTGATCTAAGCTAGAGAGAAACTTTCTATCAATAAAACCCTTTCATGGAAATTCAGCCTGGTTGATTTAGAGTATTGTGTCATGATGGTTTGAAATCAGATAAGTCAATCTTATCCTGCCAACAGTGCAGGTGACAGAACTAAATGACCTCTCAAAGTCTCTCCCAAGTCTACAAATCTATGGTTCTATGATCAGCTGAGTTTTGGAATCAGCTGAAATTGCTGCTTGTCGCTCAGTTTCATAACCGAGCATGAGTGTCTGTGCAGCTCCAGCACACAAATGCACCAATACTTAGATGTGGGTTTATTTTAAACGAACCAAAAGCAAAACTTGGGCAGTGGAGTGGTGTGATAAACTGTGTGAAGCACCCCCAAAGACAATGTTTGTATGACATACTCACCCTGCCTCCCACCTTGAGAATCGTAATTGATGAGTTTCCCTGCAGAGTCGTCTGGCACTTGAGTCCCTTCTGGGGATGTGCCACCAAGGATTTTTCATTTTGTTTTGGGGGTTTTAAGGTGAATGATTTGTTTGAGGTTTTGAGATGTCATTGCTTCATTCATTTGTGCTGCAGTTGCATCCTAAAGCTGACAGCAAGAAAGCGAGGGCACATGGGAAGTGTAAAATGCCAACGTGATTACAAGCAGCAGGTCATCTTGGGCTGATTCATTCCATAAAATAGAGCTAGGGAAAGTATTAGGTTATTTTCCTTACTATTCCTAGTGTTAGTTAATAATAGCCTATTGCCCAGCACAGTGACAATTTCACAGAGATATCACAAAAGGAATCAAAACACTCACAGATGACTTAACCAGTCATTTGGTTTTACTCTTGATTTACAATTTTTTTCAGTGCATAATTTCAAAGATAAAATATGCAGGGGGCAGTTTGTGTAGCAGCTAGCACAATGAGGGTGTGGCTTATGAGTAGGACTCCTAAATGCTACCACAATATAAATGGGATGAGCTGAGAAATACTCACCATACAGCTATCCTCATTGCCCTCATAGCCGTCTGTAATAATAAGCAAAATGCAGGACAATGTAGCACTTTAAAGACTAACAAGATGGTTTATTAGATGATGAGCTTTCGTGGGCCAGACCCACTTCCTCATCATCTAATAAACCATCTTGTTAGTCTTTAAAGTGCTACATTGTCCTGCATTTTGCTTCAACTACCCCAGACTAACACGGCTACATTTCTATCACTGTAATAATAAGAATTGGTATGATCTAGGGATTAATTAGGCATGCAAACACACACATGCACAAAGATCAGTTTCGGCATGAGTAGAAACCTAAATAATATTAACCCTCTGAAAGTGAATTTGAGTGCAATGTTCAAATAATTTGGATGAAAGGTTATAAATGCAACTGCAACCAGAAGTTAAGCAGCAATTAATTAGTTTTGGCATCAAAAATATGTTCCCAATTCTAATTCTATTGCTGTTTGGATCTACAAATCAATAGATCATAAATCTTCCATACCACTTCATTTTGCAAAGAGTCTTTCATTCAGATTATATCCTAAGATACTTTATGGCATGAATACAAGTTACAGAGTTGAATAATACCTAATGAAATAGGAAGGAGAGATGCAATGTCTAGACAAGGGAGAAAACATTTTTCTGGCCATCTAGGATTTGACACGAGGAGAATCAATGTGGTACAGAGAAGCAGGGCAGCTGTTCCAAGTGTAAGGAGTGGCATAGAAGCAGCATGCTCACCTCCTCTGTTGGGACTTGATAAAGGAAGAGGGCTGGGGAGGCTGCAGCAAACCCAGGATTAATTCTAGGCACTGACTGATTTTTGAGCATGCTTCACAGGTTCAAGTGACAAAGATATTGCACCTGCCCCAAAGAACTTGTCTCATGGATGCTTCATACTGCATCAAGGAAGAGCTGTAAACAGCCAAAAGGGAGAGGCAGTGTGGTCTAGCGTATAGAGCCCTAGGAGACCTAGTTTGTATTCCTGGCTCTGCCATGAGCCTGCTGCATGATTCTGGGCAATTTGCCTCTCCCCGCTTTGCTTCTTTTTTCCCTTCCACTGTCTGTCCTATCCCTCTAGAACAGGGCAGGGGTTGGCTTGTACTATGCACTTGTACTGTACTGCCTAGATCTGGACTGATGTTGCTCTAAAGAGG